CCGCCCCCCCTCGCTCGCCGCCGCCGCCGCGGAGGCCTCCATTTTCCCTCGGCGCCTCGGGTAAGGCCGCGACGGGCGGGACGGGGGGTCGCGACGGGCCGGGTGGGGGTGAGCGGCGGCGGAGGGGGCCGGGTAAGGCTCCGTGTCACCCCGGTAGGCTCCGAGGGGAGCGTTGCCAGGGGAACCGCGGGCCGCGCAGGGCCTAGGGCGGCTCCGAGGCCTTCTGGGCTGGGCGGCCCCGGCAGGCCTGGGCCCCGGTAAGGGCGTCCCGGTGCTCGGTGTAGGGCTGGGCTGCGAACCCTAGTACCGGCCGAGGGAGGTGGTGGTGGTAGCTGGAGCCTCCCGGGGCGGAGAGCCCGGTTGGGGACGGTGCTGGGCTGGGGCGGGGGGGTGGAGGCTCGGCGGTGGGCAGGGGCCTGCGACCGGGGTGGGGTCTGGTCCCCCCGGGGACGGGAGGGTGCTGGACCCCCCCCCACCCGCCGGAGCGGCCCCAGGGGCTGCGGAACATCACTGACACGGTAGGAAAAGCTGTGATGGTGATGGACGTGGAGGAGAGTGTCGCCTGCTTTTTTTTGGGGGGGGGGGGAAAGGTCTGACCTTTGTTTCTCAGGTGGCCAGCATCGCCCCACTCTGTAGATGTGATTGTCAGAGCACAGCCTTTGGTTTTGCAAACTTGTGACAAGGTCTTCCACGAAAAGCCAAAGGCCAGCAGCCTGGGAAGGCCCTTTTTAGGGATTAATCACTGAGTAAAGGGTGGCAAGGAGAGGGTAAGGACGGATGGTTGGTGCTCACAGCAGAGTGAGGTTATTGTGGTGCTTCACAGTCATCTCTCCTGCCTTTTTTTTTTTTTTAAATATGATGATGCGGAGAAGGAAAATTTAATCCAAAGTTCTTTAGGAGAGCTAAACTGGACTGTGGGAAGTTGCAGAGACCAGATAATACGGAGTGGCTGGGTGCCAGTGTGGTAAATGAGATACAGCAGGAACTGTTGTAATGAAGGTAACAAACACCGCAGCAATTGACTCTGCATCAGCTTTTGCTATTCAGGAAAGAGCTGTTGGTGTCTCAGCAATTGTTCTTTTTAAAACATGGCTTCAACACCTCGCCGTAGCCTAAAAAGGGTATTTTGGAATTACTTTAAAGGAACGGAGAACAAAGCAGAAAACATCATTACTGCTGCATAAATTGTTGGCAGTTTGTGCTTGGGTGATTGCTGGCAGTTCTGGTTTGCCCGTCTCAAAAGGGGAGCACTGGAAAAGGCAGGAGCAGCACGGACAAGCAGGTTTCTGGGCAAGCAAAGCCCTCGTTTCCTCACCTTAGGGGAGAAGTTTGCTGACAGGAGATACGACGCAGGTGTGTGAAGTCATGGGCAGGTCAGAGAAAACAGGGAGGGGACATCAATTTTCTGTTTCTTACAGGAAATTGTGATGTAGCAGGTCTAAAATAGACAGGCGGAAGTGCTTTTTTCACACAACATGCTATTAAACTGTGGCACTCTGCCACAGGATGTTCTGCTGCCCCACAGCATCGGGGGTGGTGGGACTGATGAGGAACATTAAAACTAATGAAGCAGGTATGGGAAGTTCCTGGGCTGCAGTACCTGGCTGCCTGGACTTTCCCCATCACAGTGTCATTTGTTTCCACTCATCATTTCACCCGTCATGGGAATGTCTGGGTTAGGTCTTGACTTCAAAATTTGGTAAAACAGCTATAAAAGCTAAATACAAAACTATACGTTGCTGGTGCCATATCAGGGCTGGCAGGCCCCAGTGGAGGTTGACCCTGCAGATGTCCCTGCCAGTACCAAGGAGTGGCTCTGAGGACGAGCTCAGTGCTGACGAGGTGCCCGTGAGGGTAGTTTGTTGTGGTGCCTGACAGTGCTTCACGGGGGTGTTTTTCTTAGGCTCATAAGCTTCAAATTAAAAGATGTCACTATGATCGTGTCTGAATTCCATGGTGGGACGCAGCCTGGAGATCATCGCTTAGTGATTATGATCAGTGTTAAATCCACACATTCTGGCTCAACTGTGGCTCTTTTATTTTTTTTTTTAAAGAAAACCAAAATTGATTTAATTTTGAGAGCTTCAGGGAGTGGAATGGTGGCGTTACCTTTGCAGCTCATTTGTATTTTTCCTAATGAGTCGTTTATTGCCACAGTCTTTTAACTCCTGTGGATGTACTCGGGCCATACTGAAATTAATTTCATGAGCATTTCATTTCATTGACAAAATGAGTAGATTTGGCTTCCTTAGGCTCTACATTTTAATTGCCTTCCCAGCCTTCTTATTCTCACAGAGCTTTCTGAATCCTTTGCAATTTACCTTTTCTCTTTGAAGTGTAGACGTGAGAGCTGAGCAAAACTGTTTGGTGGTGGCTTTGCTAATGTGGTTCCATGGACCTACATGATTTTAACCGGACCGTGAGTTGAACCATGAAATGGCAGAGGTTAAAACAATTCCTGTCCAGACCATCTCCCCCCCAAAAAAATCCCACAAAACCAATATTAGCGTGGGTCAGGACCTTGATGTAGTTTCTCCCACGAAGGATGGGGAGAAGTCAGGACTTGCTTCTCTTTAGCTCCCATAAAGCCTAGATTAGCACTTGTTTTTGCTGTTTTGTGCATTGTCACTGATATCTTGGGGTTGATTGCTGAATAATAAATGTACCTCACTGTGAGGACACTCCTGAGTTATTCTGGAGCATGACTGAGGTCTCGTGCCTGAGTTGTCATCCCTGTGCCTGGGCAGCATGAGATGCTTCTGGTTTCCCTCAGCATCTTCATCCTTTCACACTTCTTCATGCTGTGAAGCTCCTGTGGGGCACTGATGCCATCCTGCATGGGTTGTGTCCCTGCCTTGCCAGAGTGTCACTGTAACTGGCAAGGCACAGGAGCTTTTCCTGTAACCTAATCTGGTATTTTGGAGGTACTGGCTGTGTATTTCCATTTCTAAACCTAATGAGTTAGATTTTTTGCTGGTGTACAATGTGCAAAGCTGCGTCTGCCTCCAGCGCTGCGATGTTTTGCAGTCCTGAGCAGCCAGCAGGTATCTGGATGCGTGGCCAAGGCTTTACAGGTATTTTAATGTCTGGTTTGTGGCGTTCTCAGGTCCATTACAAAGCAGCACTTGTCCCAAAGGTGCTGCCTCCCCTGATTAGGGATGCAGCCCACAGTGGCTGCAGCTGATGTCCAGCCCAGTCCCGCTGACCTGATCGGACATCAGCAGTCTCGGTATTGACAGGGAGGGGAGAGATCTGCTCAGGGTCATCCCAGTTAAAAGGAGCTGTGGACTCTGGACAATTGCCATTGTGTCCTTGAGCTGAGCAAACTGTGGATGCCCCTGGTGGGAAGCAGAGGACGTGTAATTGCTCAGCCCTGAGCTGCTCCAGGGTTGCTGCTGAGTGGGAGAGGCTGTGCTCGAGGTGCCTGGCTTGGCACGGAGGCACCCATGCTCCCTTCAGGTGCCATGGCAGCACTGCTGCCTGCATTGCCACTGGCTTTGGTCCATTTTGGTCAGTGTCTAGTAGCTGTAGGGTATCTCTGGGGTAAAGCTATGTATGTATGACCTATAGGAGCCTCTCTGCCTGTGTACAGGTAAGTACCCAGGCACAGTCTCCCTGCCTTTTTGATGCTCTAGTGCAATTTAGTACTCGCTCCCGTGCTGCAGCAATCTCCAACCCTCTCTTGGGAGTGTTTCAGGAGCAGGAATGCTGCTGTGTTGCTTGAAGGACGGGCTGCCTGCAGCACTCCTCAGTCTGGAGACTCTCAAACTCTCCCCAAGCCAGACAATCGGGTGCTGATGGAGTGGGGCTCCCCTCTGTGGGGCTGACTGCTCAGGGGGCTCCTGCCGGGCAGCAGTGCTGGGCTGAGCTGGCTGTGGTCCCTCCTTCCCTCTCCTGTTTTATTTCAAATGGAGGCCTCTCTGGTGCGAAGGGTGGGAGAGGCGCCTTTAGTCCATATCTAATTCACCATCTCCTTGGTAATAGCTACCCTTGCTTCCGTTTGCTGTGCAAAGTGACATCCCTGCTGTCCACCCTGAGGTGGATTTCACTGGAGCTGAAAGCGCCCAGTTTTGTGGGTGGATGGCTTGTGCAGAACCTGCTGGGCTGGGTCATTAAATGAGATGTGTTTCCTAAGCCGTGGCTGTTCCCTGTGTCCAGACAAATTTGATTTGACATGAGCTGAAGTTGCCAGGAAATGATAGAACAACTGATGGGGAACAAAGTTGGAATTGTGAGCGAAACGCTTCACTGGCAGAGCATAGTAAAATTTCATGTGGTGCCACGACGAGGGCTTTTCGTTCTTGATGTGTTTGTGTGTTGATTGTGGGCAGGAAAGAGATGAGGTTATTAGACTCAGAAATGGAAATGCTCTAGAAAAACCCACTTAGCTGGCAGTTTAATCCATATTAATACATCCTGATGGGTATGTGTAGAAGAAGAATTGGTGGAAAAGTGTGAAGTTGACATAATGTTCACACACAGCCTGGTGAACATAACAATTCCCATTCCTTTACTGTATGTAGTTACACAATTCATCAGTGGCATTTGTTTCAGGAACAAATTTGTTTATTTCTGAGAGGGATGCTTAAATACATGTGTGTGACTTCTGCAGTGTCCTCTTGAGGATGAGGATCACCCCGTGCCCAC